AACCAAACCAAACCAAACAAAACAAACAAAAAAACCAACTCTGGGAACAGGGACATCTAGCCTTTCCTGCTCCAAAAAGCAGCCCCATGTGCAACAGGGGTCCTGAGGGCAGATGGGACTCCTGTGGGATCAGTCTCTAGGGCTTGGCCTCTCTGGGCCTTGGTTGTCTTCACCATCAAATGGGTTAACAGCATCAGCATCCAACACAAGATGCTTCTGGGAGGATGAAATAGCTCTTAGGCTGAGTTCATGGGCCATGGCTAGAGTTGATGGTCCATGTTACGGTCAGAAGTGAGGGGTCAGGATGCACACACCCCTCCCACTAGGACAAAAGTCCTCACTGCCACTCCTTCTTAGGTGGATAAGGGGACTTTATGAGCCAAACCTCAGAGCCTAATTAATGCAGTTAATCACAGGCCCAGCCACACTAGCCATGGGGACAGCTGGGATGGAGGGTCACAGCTCAGTTACCCAAAATGATGGAGGGGCAGGAAACAAGGTTATTGGTGGCCTTCTCCTCCCGCATGGCCCTGAATGGAGGCTTTCCTATGCCCTGCTAATCAGCGCCCATCCTGCAGCCCCAGCTTACTGGGCAAGTCGCTTCTCGTGTCCAAATCCAGCTTCTCCTGCTGCAGCTCAGGAAGCACGTGGGATCTGCAGTCAGGGTCCTGGCTGTCTCTAATCAGGCAGGTTAGTTAGATTGGTCTCCCAATGGCTGGGCTGAGTAACACTGAGTTTGATGGCGATGGTGGGGTGGGTGGGTTGAGGCATAACTTCTTGGAGTCCGGTGTCTAGCCCAGGAGAAAGGCAAGAATGAAGACAGGAGCTGGTGGCAAGGAAGAAAATGCCCCCTTCTCCCTCAAAGGGGCCTGTGCATGTGATGCTTTATGGGGGGTAGGGGGGCAGAGGGGGTGGTCAAAGACTAGCCAGGGCTGCAGCAGGAGGGGGCAGCCCACGCGGGCAGGGGAGCTGCCATGTTATAAATCACCCTCGACTCAATTAGAGCCTGTGAAAGGTTGTGCACACCCAGCAGAAAGCTCCGCTCTTGGCGGGCAGCCAGCTCTCTGAGGGGGGTGGGGGCGAGAGCTTGTGTGTGCCTACGTGTGTGTATGTGTGTGCCTGTGTCTTACTGTGCAGATGTGCTTGTGTGCCCTTGTGTTTCTGTGCCTGTGTGTACCTGTCTGTGCCTGACCCATGTGTGCCTGTGGTGGGGGGAGAGTATATATGCCTGTGGACTCTTGCATATACAATATGCCCCAACGTCCTTGTGTTTGTCACCAGGTGCATCTGTATGCACCTGTTCATGCCTATTTGTGCTGTGTGTGCACTTGTGTGTGTGTTGGATGGGTGGCTGTCCTCGTGCCCATGTGCACTCAAGTGTGAGTGTGTGTGTGATTGTGTCTCTCCATCACTTTGCCTCTGTATGCCTCCTTGCCTGTGTGCACCCAGGTGAGAGTGCATGCTGGTGATGAGTTGAGCTGGGCTGGATGTGTGGGTGGGAATGGAAGGGTGTTCTTATGGTAGGGGAGAGTTACGTGTATTTAGGGAGAGGCAGAAACAGAAAAAGAGACATGGATCGATGGAATTATGGGCAGGCAGAGAGAGAGTGAGAGCCAGAGGAACTTAGTAGAGAGAGACGTGACCGGTAAGGGAACTAAGCTTTGAGGAGCATGAGGGGCTTGGCAGTGTGGAAGACCTGCCAAGGCCAACCACCTCCACCACTGAGTCAAGAGGCTGGACTGGCTGGGTGCGGTGGCTCACACATGTAATCTCAGCAATTTTGGAGGCTAAGGTGAGAAGATTACCCGAGGTCAGGAGTTCCAGACCTGCCTGGGCAACATAGGGAGACCCAGTCTCTACAAAAAAATGTAAACATTAGCCAGGCATGGTGACATGTGCCTGTAGTCCCAGCTACTTGGGAGGCTGATGTGGGAGGATTGCTGAGCCTAGGAGGCTAAGGCTGCAGTGAGCAGAGATCACGCCACAGCACTCCAGCCTGGGTGACAGAACGAGACCCTGTCTCAAAAAAAAAAAAAAGCTGGACCCTAGCCATGCCATGGAAACACTGTCCTAGCGTGGCCAAGGAGCAACCTTAGAGGTCATCTCTCCTTCCCTGATGATGGGCAGTGATAAGCATCGACATCTCGATTATCTCACAGAACGCTCACAGGCACACTGTGAACCATGCACTATTATAATGTCCACTTCGTAGATACCAAAACTGAGGCTCATTGACTTGCTCTCAACAAGTAAAGTAGAGCCAGGGTCTGAACCTGGGTTTGTCTAATTGCAAAGGTCTTGCCACATTCTTTACTGTTTCCCCAAGTTTCCCAGTGGGTCACACTTGAAGGGGGTGGGAGGAGAGTCCGTGTGAGTATGTGTAGGTGGGTGGGTATGCCTCCCCATCTGCCTGGGCACTCTTTGAACCCCAGGCTGCTGTGCCCCTAGGGCACAGAAATGTGCCAAAGAAATATCTAAGTAGGGAACCAAGAGTAGCTGCCAGAAGGGAGCTTGGGGTGGGGAGAGGAGTCTGTGAACCATCCCAAGGATACTGGCCACCTCCGTCCCCCTCCCAGGTAGGAGGTGCTGTCCTGAGTCCCAGAAAACTGTGGAATAGGAGCTGAGATTTTCCCAGAGCTAAGCTGGGCTCTGCCTCATCTTCATTCATACCCAGAGCTGAACCACCTGGATGTATCTCTAGACCAGCATCATGTCTCACCTATCCCTCCTCTACCCAAGCCACAGTGACATCCAGACCCTGTCATGCCCCCAGGAACACTTGGGGCCCTGAATCAGGATCCCCACGGGAGAGGCCTGCATAGGCACCATTAGCCAGGAGCCAATTTGGAGCCCTGGACTTAGTTTCCCCCATCTATAATGGCATTTTTTGAGGAGGACTAGGAGGGCTCTAAATCACTCAGTCCTGGGCCTCCTTGCTCCCTGGAGAAACCCACCCCAGAAATCGCCCCAGGTCTCAGATCCAGCAAGGTTGGATAGGGTGAGGAACGCAAACCCAGAATGGGCTTTGGTCTCCCTCTTGCCCCAGACACCCAGGCCCCACAAAGGTTCCTCTTCCCCAGGCTCTTGGGAGACTCTTTCCCTGAACCACCATCCCGTCAGTGGCCTCGTTCTGCTCTCATTTACTGACCAGGTGCCAGGGGTGGGAGGGGCATGGGCCTTCCCTAGGGCAACCTCCAGGAGGAAACCTAGCTTTGTGCTGAACCTTCACCCTGCCTTTTCTGCAGGCCCCACATCTGGAACCATTTCAGGAAGAAGCATAGGGCTGAGCTGCCCCTCCTTTGAAGATGTGGCTATGGGGAAGGGTCATGCCCTTTGGGAGGTTGGGGGTCACAATGCATGGATGGCACCCCTCTTGAGGCTAGGAAAAGCGAGGAGAGGGAGCAACAGGAATGGGCAGTGCTGGTGGAGGCTGGGCAGGTTGGAGTTGAGGTATTCATATTTTGGGTTTTTTTGTTTTTTTGTTTTTTTGTTTTTGAGACGGAGTCTTGCTCTGTCACCCAGGCTGGAGTGCAGTGGTGCCATCTCAGCTCACTGCAAGCTCCACCTCCCAGGTTCATGCCATTCTCCTGCCTCAGCCTCCCGAGTAGCTGCGACTACAGCCGCCCACCACCACACCTGGCTAATTTTTTTGTATTTTTAGTAGAGACGGGGTTTCACCATGTTAGCCAGGATGGTCTCGATCTCCTGACCTCATATCCACCCTCCTCGGCCTCCCAAAGTGCTGGGATTACAGGCGTGAGCCACCATGTCCGGCCTGGTTTTTTGTTTGTTTGTTTGTTTGTTTTAAGACAGTCTCACTCTGTTGCCTGGGCTGGAGTATAGTGGCATAATCACAGCTCACTGCAACCTCAACCTCCTGGGCTCAAATCATCCTTCCTCTTCAGCCTCCCAAATTGCTGGAACTATAGGCTCACACCACCACACCCAGCTAATTTTTGGTGTTTTTCGTCTGTTTGTTTTGTAGAGATCGTGTTCTGTCATGTTGCCCAAGCTGGTCTCAAACTCCTAGGCTTAAGCAATCTGCCCACCTTGGCCTCCCAAAGTGTTGGGATTACAGGCATGAGCCACTGTGCCCAGCCAGTTGAGGTAATTGTGTTCTTAATGCTCAGCACTGGAAGAGGAGCACCTCCTCCAATATGTGGGATCAGGTGACAAGTGCAGAAAGGATGCCGTAGATGACCAGCATCTTCATCCCGGAGGAAAGGAATCCAAGCTTCATTCTTGGTAAGCCTCAGTTTCCCCATTACTAAAATGGAGACATTACTTTCCACACAGGATTCTGGGGAGGATCCATGGTGAAAGCGTGTTTTGGCACAGGGCCAACACATCCTAAATGCTCAGAATGGGGTAGTGGCTGCTGCTGTTGCCACCATTACTGCTTTGCTTAAAACATAGCTGCTTCCACCAAAGCTGCCATCCGGCTGAGAAGATCAGGAGAACACACCCAAATCAGTCAGGGAAAATGCAATCAGACACTGGAACTCTGGGAAAGGAGGATCCTGGAGGGCTGGGCAGTCAGGAAGTTCTCAGAGGAAGTAAGGTGGGGCTGGACTTCAGAGATGGGAGAGTGAGGCCAGCCAGAGAATTGGGAAGAGGGCATGCTAGAGGGGAACCTGCTGAGCAAAGCCCTGGAACAGGAGGGTGTCCTACAAGTCGGGTGGGCCTGAGTGTGTGAGGAGCAGAGAGGCCAGCTGGAGTTGGTTGGGTGCTCCAGGGGGCCTGACTTACCCTGGGGAGAGGAAGTGGGGAGACTGGATGCTAACTGCCACCTCTAAGGAATGACTGTCTGCCCTGAGGCCCATCCTACCCCACCTGCACTGCATCCCAGCAGAAGTCCTGAGGATCTGCAGGGGGCCACTGACACCCACCCCTATGTATTCACACCCCTGACATACACCAGGGCTTCTAGAAATCAGGTGGCTGCTCCCTTCTCCCTTTATTTATTCCCTGTTTTTTCCCTTTTCAGGAGACGATAATTATTCAGATCATCGCGGTGATTTACTTGGTAATCAGAGCCGCTCGATGCGGTGGCCGCGGAGCCGAGACAGACGAGCATTGCCTAGGAGGACGGGCCGGGGGCTCAGCCCCCCTCCCTCCCACCTGCCCGGCCTTTGTTCTCTTCGAGGTCTGCACCCGCGCTGCCTGGCGGGCAGTGGAGGCGCCCACCCGCGCGGACATGGCAGCAAGCTCGGGGTCTTGGGAATGAGTGTGCACATGCGTGCGCCCGGGGGGAGGGGAGTTTGGGGTCTCATGCGTTGCTGGGTGCTGGCTTGAGAATGATGGAGTACCTGTGTGCATGTTTGGGGCTAGTAGTGGTGGTGGTTGGGAGTGTACCAATGCATGAGCATTGCGGTCAGGTGTGTAATTGGAATGTGTGCACCTGTGTGATTACCGGGGGTCTAGGGTACATCTGTCTCTGCAGGCTTGTTCAGAAGTGCAATGGGCAGGTGCCCAAATATGTGTATTTTAGGCACATAGCGGGGAGGAGAAGAGAGTTGAAGCTCCTGCGCTGAAGCTGTCTGAGGTGATCATGGAATCATGGATGTGGCAAGGGTGGGTTCTAGCTCAGTCTCTCCGACCCTGTCTGGTCGGGGAGGTGGGCTGGGGGCGGCGGAGTGTGAATCAGCTCAGATCCAAATGCGGAGTTCTCCTGGGTCAGTGCTGGGGCCCCGGGGGTCACGTGAATACAGATGTGGCTCCGTTCACAGGCTGTGTTCACACGTGTCCGCAGACCTTCGCCCCCTCCCGCCCGCGGGCTGGCGCAGTGACGGTGACCTCATTACCGCCTCCGCAAAGGCCCCTTGAAATCCCTGCGCCGTCGCATTTGGCTGCTCAAAGTGATGGGAACGGCCTGCGCTTCCTGATCAATCGCTTAAAATTCAGGGTCGGCTCGCTCGCGGGAGAGGGCTGCCTGCCAGCCCCGCGCACCGCGCTCTGCCACCTCCCCCTACACCCCCTCCTTGCTTTGGGGGGGGCAATGCTGTCGTATTGGAAAACATCCCCGCGCTGGCTGGGGGGCCCGGTGGGGCCAGCGCTGGAAGCCGTTCCACTCGAGCAGATGGCTGTGAAACTTTGGCGGCGAGATAAATTGGGTCTGACGGCGTGAGGCCGGCTCACAGATGGGCGGGATTCTCACGCCGGCCCCCACGTCCGGCCGGGCTGCGGGCAGGGCCGACACCGCTCAGAGCCCCCTTTGGGCACCCGCCTCGCCAGCACAAGCCTTTCAGGAGGCCACCCATCCGGCAACAGCCTTCCTCAGCCGAAGGCAGCCTCCACCACATTCCTTCCGGCCCCAGATCTCCCCAGAGACGAGCCCAGAGGGAGGGACAGCCCCCAGCCCCCGCCCGGTCACCTCCGCCAAGCTGGCAGCTGGGCTTTCCCCCTCCTCTGCCATCCGCAGAGGCCTGAAGCGTGAAGGTTAACAGCTGGGGGGGAGGCTGCGTCTCCCTCTCTCACCCCCGCTCTGCTGCAGCCCCGCCCACCTGCCAGCCCAGGGGATGTCGTAAACAGGGCTGTGAGGTGTGTGTGTGTGCGGGGGGTTGGGGGGTGACTGAAGAGGGGGAGAGAAGAGAGAGTCAGTCAGACAAAGGGAGGAACGAAAATGAGCAAGAGGCGAGCGGAGACCTGAGCAGAGACTGAGGGACAGAGACAGCTAGAGGCAGAGACAAGCAGAGAAAGAAATGGAGATGGAGATGTGGAGATAGACACGGAGACACCCAGAGAGAGAAGGGAGGGAGGAGCAACCTCAGAGCCAGAGAGAAGACACACAATGAAAGTGGGAGGAGGGCGAAGGACCAGGCGAGGGGACACGATACTGGCAGAAATGCAGAGCTGCGGACGACCGTGGAGGGTGGGGACGAGCCGAGGTTGGGAGCAGGGTGCGACCCTGGGCTACCCTCACCCCCGCACCCCCGCCACCAGAGCTGGGAGCCAGAGCGAGGGAGCGTCGCTGCCCCTGGGTGCGCCCTCCATCGCTACGCCACTTGCCCGCCTCGGTTTCCCCGGGAGCGCTAGATGAAGGAAATGGCGGGGTGGGGGAGCTGTGGGGGTCGGTGGGTGCTGCGCGGCCATCACACGGCAGCAAAGCCAGCCTGTCTCGCAGCCTCCCTCGCGCATCAGTCCAGCGGGCAGATATCGATCCGGCCCAGCCAAGCTCTATACTCGCGGCCTGCAGCCCGTTCCCTGGCGGTCCTACAAAGAAAGGGTGGCTTACTTATCGGGCCTCCCCGCGGGGGATTCTGCACCAGAATAACGCCCGCGGGACCAGGGTCAGGGCGGCGAACTCGCCCCCGCCTGTCCCAGCGCGGTCCCATTCGGCAGGCCCAGGTACCCTGCGGCTGGGAGAAGGCTCGGGTGACCCCCAGCCCCGCCTCCTGCAGGGCGCGCAAGGCCAGAGGAAAAAATCTTCGCTGAGTTGATGAAGTTGAAGTTTCGTTCAGGGCGTGAAGGAGACAGCCAATCAGAGGGCCGTTATTTACATAGGCTCTCTGATTGGCTCTCACGTTGCCTCTTTAGAATGTTACTTTGAGACCTTCACAGAACGTAAAGTCCCCCGCTGGGGGTGGCGGAAGGCTCAGAACCTCCAGGGTTTCATGTAGGGCTCCCCAGGCCAAGCTTTGAGGGAAGATGGGGAGCTTAGATATAGTTTTGTCCAGCTCTCACGATACAAATGACCAACTTGAGTCTGGAGGGACAGAGAGGTGGAGCTTGGCCTGGATCCAGGAGATGAGTTCGGCCTAGCGCTCTGCAGTGGGCCCACCACCCCTGACACCTAGATGTGTGGTCACCTTGGCCATGGGGAGGAGGGGCGTGGTCCTGGCAGCCCCCCTCATCCAATAGCGAGAGAGGGGCTGATTCAATGGTTTGAGGGAGCAGGAGCAGGGAAACCTGGCGGTGCCAGTCTTGTATGTGACCGGACAGTGTGGGTGGTATCGCCATAATGGTCTTGTTTGTGACGGGGCAGTGTGGGGGGTATCACAATGTTGGAAACCCCGCAAATAATGCAGCCCCAGAGGCAGGCCAGGCTGACCCTGAGGTCATGTCTCACTTGACAGCCTACGCAGGCACACGTGAACACAGGAGAGCCCAGCGACAGGACGGAGCCTCGGGGCCTCGAGGAGTGGGTTTGCTCTGCAGGGAGTGGCACTGGGCAACCTGAAGCAGCTTCGCACTGCCCCGCATCCGCACTCCCGGGTCCAGCAGACACTGAGTCACTCTTGGGGATGGGGGCGAAGCCAAGACATTGGCAGCTAGGAGCAGAGAAGTTCTCTCAGAAGGCCTCCACCCTGCCTTCCCCACTGAGTCGGCCCCGCCCACCCATGCTGGGAAAAGGGCCCCCTGGGGTTGCCATTCGAAAATCCTGCCTGGCTTCCTGGCCCACACTTCTCCCCAGGGGACTCAGCATAGATGACTCAGGACTTGGAGTGGGGCTGTTAAGGGGCAAATGTGGTGGTAGGGGGGCCTGAGTGTGTGGCTGAGGCTGGAAAGTCCCTCCACCATCTGCCTGTAGCAAATTGAGGGGCAGGTAGGAGAATTCACTCTAGTGGGGTTCTAACCCTGCCCCAATTCTTTCACAGTGACACAGTCTGGAGATCCAGCTCTGTCACTCAACTCTACATAGCCTTCACCCAGAGCCTGACAGTGTATATGAAGGACAGGCTGCACCTGTGAGTCCTTGCGTGCCAGCAGCTGGCCTTGTGACATGCCCCTGTGGGACCCTGGGTTGCAGTATCAAGTGCTAGGGCAAACACACATTGTTTGCAGAAGACCCAAGGACCCCACAGCCAGTGCAGGACATCTAAGAGACTCCACCACCTGCCAATCCCCAGAACTTACCCTGCTAATGAACCAAACTTGCTGTGTGACTTGGAGTGCGGCTCGCACATCTCTGGGCCTCAAACTTCTCTGTAAAACCATGCCCTCTTGAATGTACCATTCCCAGTGGTGGCAGCTGCAGAGAAATCATAATAGCAGGGGCAGGGTCCAAGAAGGGCCTGAGAAGCTGGTTCAGCCTGTGGTCTGGGAGCCAAGTGGGGCAGAGACAAGATTGCCAAGTCCCACGGTTCTCACCAATTCTCATAATCTCATCTCTCCTCTTGTTTTCCTGCCTGCCTCATAAATAGCATGAGGCTGGGCTGGGTCTGGGGCAGGAACGGGGAGCTGCATGTGTGCATTTGTGTGTGTGTGTGTGTACACACACATGGGGAGGGTGTGAGAGCCTTCCCCCCACCCCCGCCGCTGCCGCCATCGTGCTCTGAGAAGCTGAGATAATCCCTCGCCATCTGTCTTGTGTTGCTAACCCACTCAGCCGGACAGCTGCCCGGGCCACAGCTCTATAGGCAAGCAGGCAGGGGAATGAGGGGTATGGGGGGAGCTAGCCAACTCTGAGGACCAGGCAGCAGGGACACTCAGTCCTCCCATACCAGAATACCCCTGCTCTAGAAAGGGAAAGTAAAGTCAGAGAGGGGACAGGCAGGACTTCCCCCACTCCGGCTTCTGAACCTGGGAAGGAGTGGAGGAGTGAAGACACTCCCTGGTGTGGGGGTTGGAGGCCAAGCTTCCCGGAATGCAGGAAGGTGAACAGGATCACTGTCTAGCTTATGTTCTCATGAGCCCACACAGATCACTGTGATGGGAGGGGTACAATAGGACAAGTCAGGCCCTCTGGACCCAGGGAAAGGAAGAAGGGGTCATCTCATCCTTCCCCAGCCTCCAGACAGGCCAGTGTCCCAGGCCTCCCCAGTGGTCAACTTCCCAGAGCCAGGAGGAGAAGGCAGGCTTCTAGGATTTTGGGCGGGTAATGCTTAGTGTACAGGCCCATTGTTCTGATGAGGAAACTGAGGCTCAGAGAGCGAAATGACTTGCCCCAGCTCACCCCATGAGTGGAGGAGCTGGGACTTGGACCAGACATCAGGCTCCAGCAGCCCTAGCTCTGTAGCCAGTTCTATCTGCCTGCTCCCCATCATCAAGTCCCTCACCCTGCCTCACCTTCCCAACCTGTGGCTCTCCGGTCCTGGGGCTCTGATGTTCTGTCAGCTGAAGCCCAGCGACCAGACTCTCAGCAGTATGGTCCCAATGCAGTCCAGGGGATTTCAGCCATGACAAGCAGAGCCTGAGGAAGGATGAAACTGTGCACTCAGTGTGGGCTCCCACCCGCCACCCCCTCCCTGTCAATCATCTTTCACCTCTCCCACACAATTAGCATGCTTCCACACACATACACTCTCAAATACAGATCGTACACACTCATGTGATCACACAGGTCCTCACTCACAAAAAGACAGATAAACAGTCACACTTACAGGGCTTGAAAACATACAATCTTACAGATACAAAGGCAAACTCAGACAGCCTCTCACCTCCTCACACCAACACACAGCCCCCAACACTCACACCAAACACACATTCCACCCCCACAACCTCCACACACTGTAGGCTCCCAGTTCCTAAATCTCACCAGCTCCCAACCTCCCAGGTACTCCATCTTACCCCACATGAAGCAGTAACCCTCCAGGGCCAGTACATTGGTAGGAGGGGGGACCAGAGAGAGGTCTGCTCTGTCCTTCCTGCCTATGGGTGAGGGCCCTCCACTAAGGTGCTGGTGAGCCCCCGTACCCTCCCCATCCCCCAAGACTTTGGAGAACTTCCACCTGGCCACAGATCCAAGAGAACAGTCCTCACCTCTTGCCCACAGGGGCTCACAGCTCTCCTAGGCCCAGGAGGAGGACAGGGACTGGGGGAGGCAACTGCCTCTCTTCTGAGGGTCTCAGCTTGCTGGGAAATGGCACATACCCAAATAATCTGACAGTGTTTTGAGCCCCCACAGGACCACAGACTCCAAGTCCTGTTCATGATCCAACCACTACATACCCTTCTTTCTAAACTGCTGCTTCTCTGCCTTTTCCCCACTCCAACCAGCCCTTAAGGGACCCTGGAAGCAAAGGTGAACTGACACCCTCCCACTCCAGGCTGGAATTTTGCTCTCAGATCACTGTGTTCTCTTGAGCCACAGGGAGCTCCTCCCTGAGCCCGGCTCTTCTGCAGCTAAGGAAAGCCCAGGCTCCAGATACACTCACACACTCATTCACACACAATGTGGCACACTCACACCTGCCCTCACACAGATGCTCACCTGCATACATCCTCACGCACCCTCACAGCCACCCTCACACACACACTCACACTGTCACACCCTCCTGCTCTCACACGCTCACTGTCACATGCTCAGCCACACCTCACCCTATCACACTCATGGCCCTACCTGAGCAGGCCGAAGCTCAGGGGCCCTGAGGTCCATAGATCACTGGCAGAGGCTCAGAGGCTGGTGTTGACAGCCCGGTTGTGCAGGGAGAGGGGAAGGGCTGCCACTGAGGCCTGGAGGGTCTTGAATAATTCAGAGTGGTGGTGGCAGTGGTGACCGCAGCCTGTCAGCTGCAAGGAAAGGCTGGTGGCTAGATTGTTCCGGGAAGCTCGCTCCCAGTGGTTTGAGGAGAGTCAGCCCAGTTTGAGGGCTCACCAAACACACAGAGCACTTTTTCCACATGCTTTCAATGAACATCCTCACATGGGCCTGCACAGCAGGCATCATGGCCCCGTTTTCCAGGTGAAGAAACTGAGGCTTTCATGAGGGAGAACTCACAGCTATAAAGCAGGGGCCTCCAGACTCCCACCCACACTCCTCTCCCCGATACCCACATATACCCTAGAGGGAGCTTCCTCTGGTCATCGTGCCCAGATTACAATGAGAGATGCCAGCCATCTGAGGACACTCTGGAATGTGATGCTGTGGCCTGAATCCACGAAGCACCTGGCTCAGGGCCTGCACATAGTAGGCGCTCAGTTGCTGCCTGCCAAATGAGGGCATTGGGCAGAGGCAGCACAGAGTAGCCCGGGGCCATACTCCGCCTCTTACCCAAGTTGCTAAACCTCTCTGAGCCTCAGTTTCCTCATCTATAAGATGGGCACTAAGTGTATTGGCCTCATGGGATGTTGGTGAGGACTAACCGGGAAAACACACCTAAGCCAGTTAACCTGGGTCTGGTCTGAAAGAAGGGCTCCACATTGCACCTAAATTGTGATACGGATATCCTTGCCACAAAGAGAGACAGCCACAAAATGGTGGTCTGCACATACACGTACTCTCTGCCTGGGGTATACTCTTTACTGTCCTTTGCTGTTGTCTCCTTTTCAAGGATGAGTGCTTCTGCCACTTTCTCCAGGATGACAGCCATGAACTCCTGCCATATCCAACACCCCCTTGCTGCTCCCCACTGCCTTCCTTGGCACCCAGGTGGCTGATCTCCTATGGGTCTTGCTGGCTTCTCTACCTTGTATGCTGAGGGTGAGCCCAGTCTGTCCCAGCTCAGGGTCTGCACATAGCAGGTGCTCGCACGTTGCCTGCTAAACTGACAGCCCATGTCAGCACAAAGCAACCAGCATTTTAGGTGCATCCACAGTTAAACCACTGAGGTCATGGGTCTGTTCTCTGCAAAAACAAAAATACCCCACTAGTCATGTCTGATGAGAACCATAGCAAAAGATCAGAATGTGGTGGCTTCACCCAGAAGCAAAGCATCAGGCTCCAAGCCATGTCCCTGACCTGAAGGGGCACCTGCCCAGACCCAGGGGTGCCAACTCCTAGAGGCAGCTGGCATGTGACTACTGTGCCCAGTAGAGAAAGGCAGAGACACTCAGTCCCCAGAGCCCAGAGCCCCGAGAAAATTATGGAACATCCTCCATATTTGATTCAAAATAAATACCACAGTAAACCATAGACCCAAAACTTACACGTCGGCTGAAATTAAAATAGCTTCTTGCTACGTTTTCTGGTTTCAATATTCTGGATAAGCTCATGGAAGCTGAATCAGGCAATTTGTCTGTCTCTTGCTTTGTTTCTGCTGTTGCCCCTGCTTTGCAGGGATCTCAGCACACGCTTGGTCTCCCCTCTGAAGCAGACCCCAGCTGGGTCTGGGGGGGGTCTCCTGGTCCTGCACTCCCAGGGCTGATCCCCCCAGGAAGTATTCATGCCTATGCACATCCCCCCCATGGGTTCTTTTGGCTCCTCAGTAGGGGAGCAGGACCAGGGCCCAGCCTTGGCCAAGAGTTGCCCCCAGCAGACCTCTCTCTGCCACTGCTCCCCACAAGGTTTCCAGCACCCCCAGCCCCTCCCTCTTCTGGGGAACCTTGCGGCTGGGCCCGTGCCTGCGGCGAGTCTCACCCCAGTATTATTTTAGTCGCAGACAGACACGAGGCAGATGGTGACAACATCCCTTCCCCGCTCCCCACTGACGAGCCGTTGCCGCCCTGAAGCCTCAGGGTTCTTCTCCCTCAGGAATATTTCAGTCCCGACTCCGTGGCTAAATGCGGCTGCTCGTGTGAGACAAGCGCACATCTGCGCCTCCTCCTCCCTACCCCCTACCCATTTCCTGAGGCTGAGCAGAGAGCCCTGGGGAGGCCCTGCCCACTTGCAGCTCTGCCCCATCCTCCTAGCTGCCCTACTGTGTGCCAGGCATCATGCCATGAGCATGGTACCACTGGGAGAGGGCAGTTACTGTGCCCACTTTACAGATGAGGAAGTTAAGGCTCAGAGTGAAGCAGGGACCATTCCAGATCACACAGCAGGAGAGGAGGCATTCCCTTGGGTCCCAGTGCACCCTGGAGACAGACACAGGCTCCTTCTGCTCCTTCCCCACCCCTCAATCCTCTACCTTACCACCCCTATGCCTATTCCAGGCAACTTGTCTTCCTAGGAACTATTTCATTGTGCCCACTCTCCTGCATCAACTTGTAGCCCAGGGCACGGGGCTAGCCAGCTAGCTGGTCCTGGCTCAGTGGGCATTCGGCTGTAATTGTGACTACCGAAGGCAGGATGGACAAATGCAGGAGGAGGCCGCTTGCATGAGACAGGCCTGGTTTCAAATCCCAGCTTTGTTATGACTTTGGGCAAATCACTTCACCTCCCAGGACCTGTTTCTTCATCTGTAAATGCACAGCAGCAGTATCGCCTATCTTTACCCCTAATTCAATGAGTGACTGCTATATTCCCAGCACCTAAAGCAGGGCCTGGAACACAGTGTGTGCTCAATGCGTATCTGTTAAATGAATGACACAGGTAATGAGATGAGCATCAGCCCTGGCTCTGTGGAGCTGGTCCTCCCTGCAGCCCCACCCTCAACAAGGCCTGGGGCCAGCTCTGCCTCAGTGGCCCACTAGGAGCTGAAGTTGGTCACAAGAGCCAAACAGAGCCTTGTCTCTAGGCCCCTCCCCAAGCCCCACAATGCAAAGTGCTTGGAGCTTTAGGGGGCGGGCCATGGGCGCGGGGGGGGGGGGCCCATAATAGGCCTGGGTGCCAGCCAAGTGTGGGAGTTGGGCTGAGGTTGTTTTGGTTCCCTCATGCCCCCTTCTCCAGCCACCCACCCTGACTGGCCAGGGGCGGTGAAGCTGGACAAGGGCTCTTTGAGGGCTTGGGACGCTTTCTGGGCAGGTGAGGACATGTCTATTCCCAGTCAGGCTTCCTGGCTGTGGGCTCCCTATCCCAGCACAGTCCAACCCCCAACCCCCTGCCACACCTCAGCTGGCCTTCTGGGGCTGGGCCAAGATACACACTGACAAACCAGCACACAAAAACACCACCCACCACAGTGACACTCACACCCTGTAAAGATATACAAAGCATATACACACAAACATACACCACCCAACTAACTAAAGGCACAGAAACAATCAGCGACTCTGTGCATGGCAAGGTACACAAGCTCTCAATGTCTGTGACACAGAGCAGCCATGTGCAGCCAGTGCAGGGTGTATCCACACTGTCACACAGCATGGCTGTGAACACATGTGTGGCACAACCCAGCCCAGGTACATAGCTCAGGAGCACAGATGTGCGCAGCAGGAGGTGTGAGGCCAGTCTTGCACCGAAGCAGAGGTCTGTCTCCCCATACCAGACCAGCAGCTCAGGGACAGGTTGGGGTAGGGACACAGGGCCATTGGAAGAGGAAGAGGAAGAGGAAGAGGGCAGGCCGGGCCCAGGGTGGGGGGTGTGTCGGGGTCAGCTCTGCAACCCCCACTTTTACAGGACTCAGGCTGAGGCATCAGTGCCTGCAACAAGCAGGTTTTTTTGTGGTAAAAAAGTCAGAACTCTCACCCCTAATCACATTGACGTGTCACTACCAGTGTCTCCTCTCAGCAGCCACCTCTGCCCAGGTCACCCTCACACTCATGCATGGCATAAGAAACTGGATGAGGCTACTCACTGTCACCATAAAAGCCAATACAAAGGCAAAGAGAGGTTGAGTGTCAGTGCAGGTGTGGAGACACTTGTCAGCAGGGAATTCTGGGCATCAGACCACCCTCTGCCAATCATGATCAGTCAGGAAGGGTAAGTTCATCCCAGCGGCCACACATCAACCCAGCCCTGAGAACACAGCCCTGAGGCCAGCCAGCATGGGAAGGCCTCCTCATGAAGGACAAAGGCCCTCCTCTCTGACTTTCCCTGTCCCTGGCACATCTCATCCATTGCTTCCCATCTCTGGCCACTGCTCTGTGGTGCCCACTGCCTTGGCACTGGCATTTGAGGGTCCTAGTTATCTGACCCCATCTAGAGCTCTTTTCTCCAGGCCTTCACCAATGCTGTTTCTTCCACCAAGGGTGCATTCCCAGCCCCCACTTTTGGTGGCCTCTCCATCCATCAAAATCAATGCCATCCCCCCAAGAAACCTCCCCAGTCACTGCCAGGAAAAAAATTCTCACTTCAGTGCTGGAATGAGAGATGAGGACCCATGTGGGGCTCTGCTGGACCCCAGTTTCCTAATCAGCAAAATATGAAAGACACGGCCCATCACCCCTGAGAGCCGAAGAGACAGAACAACAAGTACAGTGATTCCCAAAGTAGGGTTCACAGACCCCTGGGAGTCTCCCAGACCTTTTCAGGGGTAGGTGAGGTCAAAATTATTTTACTAATAGTACTAAGACATTATTTGACTTCTTTATTATGTCTAAGCCACACTGGGTAAAACTGTTGGTGGCTTAGCACAAATCAAACTGTACTAGGAGTCATATTCGGCACATGTACACAGAATTCACATAAAACACTTCTATACCATACCAGAGTTCATCGAACGTGGTGACTCATGCCTGTAATCCCAGCACTTTGGGAGGCCGAAGTGGGCAGATCATAAGTCAGGAGTTCGAGACCAGCCTGGCCAACATAGTGAAACCCTGTCTCTAATAAAAATACAAAAATTAGCTGGGTGTGGTGGCATGCACCTGTAGTCCCAGCTACTTGGGAGGCTGAGGCAGGAGAATCGCTTGAACCCAGGAGGCAGAGGTTGTGGTGAGCCGAGATCCCGCTGCTGCATTCCAGACTGGGCAACAGAGCAGGACTCCGTCTCAAAAAAAAAAAAAAATATATATATATATATATATATATATATATATATACACACACACACACACACACCAAAGTATGTTGGTTGCCTCAAGAAAAGCACTTACGCTATTGTTTGAGTTGCGAGCTGAACTAGCTGATTTTTTTATGGCACGTCATTTTTACTTGACAGAAAGACTGACAGGCAGTCTTAGATATTTGGCAGTTATTCTCTCACAAATAATGAAGTCAGTCAGTCACTTCAAGGAAAACAACACACACTATTTGTTGCCAATGATAACAGTCTTTTTTTTGTTTTGTTGTTGTTCTTTTTGGAGACAGGTCTCATTATGTTACCCAGGCTGGATGCAAACTCCTGGGCTCAAAGGATCTTCTCGCCTCAGCTTCCTGAATAGCTGGGTCTACAGGTACACACCGCTATGCCCAGCTAAAATTCTATTTTTATTTTGCATATTCTGCTTATGTATAAAATTGTAGTTTTTAAGCGAAATTTAAATTTTGAAAGACAGGTATACAACACTATAACACCATAAGCTTCACAGTTTCCTGGTACCTTTCTGAAGAAATTTTGTCAATCACATCCACGGATGTGATTTTTTAATATGGCATAATGAAATGTGTTAATACTTGAGAGATCTTCATAACTCAGTGAACTAATATTTTTTATTTAAAAAATTATTTTATTTGTTGTTCATGTTTTAGAGACAGAGTCTTGCTATGTTGTCCAGACTAGCTTCGAACTCCTAGACTCAAGCAATCCTCCTGCCTCAGCCTTCCAAGTAGCTGGGACTCCGGCATTTTCTTTTTTTTCCCCTGAGACGGAGTTTCACACTGTCGCCTGGGCTGGAGTGCAGTGGTGAGATCTGGGCTCACTGCAACCGCCACCTCCCAGATTCAAGCGATTCTCCTGTCTCAGCCTCCCGAGTACCTGGGATTACAGGCACCTGCCACCAATCCCAGCTAGTTTGGGTGTGTGTGTGTGTGTGTGTGTGTGTATTTTTAGTAGAGGTAGGGTTTCACTATGTTGGCCAGGCTGGTCTTGAACTCCTGACCTCATGATCTGCCCGCCTCGGCCACCCAAAGTGTTGGGATTACAGGCGTGAGCCACCGCGCCCAGCCTTCAGAAAAATTTTCTTTTCTTTTTTTTTTTTTGACCAAGTTTCACTCTTGTTGCCCAGGCTGGAGTGAAATGGCATGATCTTGGCTCACTTCAACCTCCACCTCCCGGGTTCAAGCGATTCACCTGCCTCAGCCTCCTGAGTAGCTGAGATTACAGGCATGTGCCACCACGCCCGGCTAATTTTTTTGTATTTTTAGTGGAGATGGGGTTTCTCCATGTTCGTCAGGCTAGTCTTGAACTCCTGACCTTAGGTGATCTGCCCGCCTTGGCCTCCCAAAGTGCTGGGATTACAGGCATAAGCCACCGCACCCAGCCCAGAAAAATTTTCTAAATGATATGCATGCTGTTATAAAATCATGTGTGGATAAAAGATCCACTCAAAATGTGAGTTAGACAAGTGGACTTTAATAGTGATAGAATATGAAAAGCTCACTGATATGGTTTCAGGCCCCAAATGATATTAACCTTTAGGAAACTGCCACTTGTCGAGTTTTGGTGTAGTATCAAATTATCTGAAAAGGTTAATAAAGCACTACTCACTCTTTCTTTCTTTTTTTTTTTTTTTTTTTTTTTTTTGTTGTTGAGACAGAGTCTCGCTTTGTGCCCAGACTGGAGTGCAGTGGCCGGATCTCAGCTCACTGCAAGCTCCGCCTCCCGGGTTCACGCCATTCTCCTGCCTCAGCCTCCCTAGTAGCTGGGACTACAGACGCCCGCCACCTCGCCCGGCTAGGTTTTTTTGTATTTTTTAGTAGAGACGGGGTTTCACCGTGTTAGCCAGGATGGTCTCGATCTCCTGACCTTGTGATCCGCCCGTCTCGGCCTCCCAAAGTGCTGGGATTACAGGCTTGAGCCACTGCGCCCGGCCCCACTCTTTCAACTATAAATCTGTGTGAGGCCAGGTTTTCCTCATATACTTTAACCACAACAAAAACAAAACTATGTGCCTATCTATAATCACCACCAATTCAAAGTAAAAGCAGATATGAGAATCCAGCCCAGTCCCATGAGGCCTGTTTGCTCTATTAAACCAAATTTTTTTTTTTTTTTTTTTTTTTTTTTTTGAGACGGAGTCTCGCTCTGTCGCCCGGGCTGGACTGTGTAGCTGGGACTATTGGCGCCCGCCACCTCACCCAGCTAGTTTTTTGTATTTTTTAGTGGAGACGGGGTTTCACCGTGTTAGCCAGGATGGTCTTGATCTCCTGACCTCGTGATCTGCCCGTCTCGGCCTCCCAAAGTGCTGGGATTACAGGCTTGAGCCACCACGCCCGACCTATCAAACCAAATATTAACGAGATTTGCAAAAATGTAAAAACAGTGCCACTCTTCTTACTCATTTTGTTTTGTTCTAGAAAACAAGGTTATTTTTCTTTCTTTCTTTCTTTTTTTTCTTAGTTGAGAAGGAGTCTCGCTCTGTCACCCAGGCTGGAATGCAGTGGTGCGATCTCGGCTCACTGCAACCTCTGCCTCCAAGGTTCAAGAGATTCTTGTGCCTCAGTCTCCTGAGTAGCTGGGACTACAGGTGTGTGCCACCACACCCGGCTAATTTTTGTATTTTTAGTGTAGACGGGGTTTTACCATGTTGGCCAGGCTGGTCTCGAACTCCTGACCTCAAGTGATCTGCCCGCCTCAGCCTCCCAAAGTGCTAGGATTACAGGCATGAGCCACTGAGCCAGTCAAGGTTGCTATTTTTCATAAAAATATATTATCTATGATAACTGGTAATGGTATTATTACTGTTATTTTAAAATGAATTATTATTGACCAGGCATAGGGCTCACATCTGTAATCTCAGCACTTTGGGAGGCCAAGGCAGGAGGATCACTTGAGGTCATGAGTTTGAGACCACCCTGGCCAACATGGTGAAACCTCGTCTCTACTAATACAAAAATTAGCCAGGCACGGTGGTGCATGCCTGTAATCCCAGGAGACCAAGGCATGAGAATCGCTTGAACCCAGGAGACGGAGGTTGCAGTGAGCCAGGATCACACCACGGCACTCAGCCTGGATGACAGAGTGAGACTCTGTCTTAAAAAAAAAAAAATTAGCAGGGCATGGTGGTGTGAACCTGTAGTCCTAGCTACTCAGGAGGCTGAGGCAGGAGAATCACTTGAACCCGGGAAGAGGAGGTTGCAGTGAGCCAAGGTTATGCCACTGCACTCCAGCCTGGGCGACAGAGCAAAACTCCATCTCAAAATAAATAAATAAATAAATAAATAAATAAATAAATAAAATGAATAAATACCTGTTTTTAAATTTTCCCAGTCTGAATTTCTAATATGGCAAGTCTTGATAGATACAACTCATGTAAACAAAAGTTCTTTGGGGGTCCTTAGTAATTATTAAGCATGTAAAGGAGTCCTGGGAACAAAAAGGTTGACAGCCGCTGGCCTAGTGGTTTCAGGATAGGAAAGACAGGAATAGGCCTGCAGAAAGCCTGGATCAGCAGAGGCAGGCAGGGACCAAAAGGGGCTCCCAGAGAGAGAGAGTGCCTTTGAAGTCTGGGCGGGCAGGGTGGGGGAGGAGGGCTTGGAGCAGGGCGGGGACCACATGACTTCAGGGCAAGGGGTTCTGGCAGAGGCTTCTGGGAGTCCCTGACTTCTCTCTGCGGCCCCTGTAGGGGTTGTGAGTATGTAGGGGAAGGCCCCAAACATACAACAGACCACCACATACGTAGAGCTGAAACACAGCCCCAGAGCTCCCACCCTCCCCAGAAGGCTTCCACCCTGCCCTATCCCCAACCCAACCCTCACCCTCACCCACGAAAAGGATTTGGGCCTTAAAATTATCGTCACCACAGCGGTGCAGCAGACAATACAGAGGGGACATTATGCGCTGAGACAGAGAGGCCTCGTTGTTGGCGCAGCAGAGACAGCAGTGCTCTGTTCTGAGCAGGCTGGGGGCTGCTCGTGTGCTCAAGCAAGACCCCTCACACCCAGAATCACGTCCTCACCCAAATGCACACTCATGGACTCACCCCGGGATGCCCCTCGGGTGCATGCTGTGGCACACAGGAGCCTTTGGATGTCCCTCTCCAGCTTCTGTGCAAACCCCCACTCACCACTACCCGCTGTGGGCCCACACTACCAGCCCCACACATGCCCATGGACTCCGTGGCACAGGTTCCCACCTGGGGAACCCCGTGGGGGTGCAAGGGACATGAGACAGCCACAGGGCCCTGAGGAAGCGCACCCTGCCTGCACTGCCCTGCACCGCCTGGCTGGGATCACAGGGCACTGAAACCAGCAGCCGCCTAGGCTGGGCCAGACGTGCCTGGACCCACAGAAGGACACAAAGGCGGCGTTGTTGCTTTGCCAAACACTCCCAGCTCTGAAGTGGGAGGGAGGGACCTGGGCAACTGGCGCCCCTACCCCCAGCTCCTGGGCTGGCCCCGGAGCAAGACTGGACTTTAACCTCTTAGGCCACTACTAGTGTTTGGGCCAGAGGGCAAGCAGGAAGAAACTCAGGCCTCAGGATAAAACGTGCCAGAAGAAGGCTCCCAAGTCCAGAGCTTGAACTATACTGGGGTCTTATTTCTCCTGAGTCAGGATCTCTCTCCCTCCCAACATTTGTGCAGCTTGTTCCCTCTGCCTGGGAATTCCCTCCCCTCCTCTTCTCTGGAGAAGTTTTCATTTTCCTTTAGGACGTTGTTCAGAGAGCACCTCCCCCAAGAAGCCCTCCTGATCCCTGAGCTGAGCCAGTTACTCGTCTG